TCCGTAGCCCCCCTGCCCTGCTACCAGAACCATGCCAAAACCCTGCCAGACACCACCACAGCTCTGAAACTACATCTCCTTGAGAAATGTCTGTTAAGGAAGCACCTTGTTAGCTGAATATCAGTAAGAGGAGTTCCAGTATTCTGGAAGGGGTGGAGGTTGGTGCCTTAGTCTTGTAAAAGCCAGAACAAGCTGTCTTTTCTTTCTACCATCTCACCTCCAAGTGAAGCTTAGAGATCACTTACAAAGCACTGTCTAGTTGCTTGATTGTATTCTTAGAGGTGCAACCGGTGACACAATGTTAACCTCACAAAATTCTACAGGCACAAATCGATCACTTAAGCATATCTCCTACTTAGAATATAAAGAAAATAGCTCTGTGTTACCCCCACCAGCCCCCATCCTCACCCTGAGCAGTGCTTAAAGCAACCTCTGAATTATTGTGGTTACGTCTTCTAAATTTTTCTGTCCTAACTCTACTTTTTCTGTGGGTGTGAATACAGCTGATGGCCCTCAGATCTAAACTTTAGACCCAAGAGTGGAGAGTAAGATTCATGTGCAGGCTAGTAAGTGAGGCAGAAGGGGAATTGAAACCTTTACAATTCTCTCTTTTCCTTTTTTTTTCCGTCTTTCTCTGCTAAAGGCTTATAGGGAAAGTTTAGCTGACAGAAAGGCAATTTAGTCTTGTGGAGCGTTTGAATTTTTCCCCATGGGAATTTAAATGTTCACTGCCTTTTAAAGAAATAATGTCCAGGGTTTCAAGGAAATGCATTGCTTGTTTCATTTTTGGCATTTTCTAATAACGGCTTTAGAGCTGAGACTTTGGTTCTGAGTAGACAAGGAGTCTTGTAACTTCATGGAAGAAGACTGATGTGGCATTGATGTTATCTGAATTTTGGTGTCTGTGATCTTCCTCTTAAAGTATTTGTCGCTCTTTAGTCTGACAGGCTGCTCTTTCTGACTATTATGTTTTCTTTAACTTCATAAGTAACACTAGTGGCAGATCCAAAAGGGATAAAACAGAGTTCATGCTGAATAATGTAGTTGTGGGAAAGAATACTGAGTAAAACTAGAAGCATTTAAAAATAGGTGACTTGATCTTCAGAAATGATTAATGCCATCTAGTGCTCAATGTGAAACAAGAGTTTGTAGTTCAGATATAGAAGTAGAAGGAGTTTCTTCCATCATTATCCTAGCTTGTTTATTTGTGATGAGCTCATTTTACTGCTCTGCATTTTTCCCATTTCCTGAAGTGCTATTAACACTCCTTATTACAAGTATCACTTACAAATCGCACATCTGAAAATCAGAAGGAAAATATGTGCATTTGCTGTGGGTCAAACAGCTTCTTTCGGTTCTCTGTGCAGGGCAATTGCCAGTTCTTAGTCTTCTGTCCTTTCTGTTTTTCAAACTCTAGATGTCCTTTCTTTTCACTCATGGTAGAGGCTCCCATGATGGCAAGGACTCAGGATGATTGTTTTCCTGTATCCCAAAGAATCATAGGCTCTGGCTTCTCTGCCACCTTAAAACTATATAAATTTTCTCTTCACTTCTTTTCTGTTTATTGGGGGGACAAATCATTCTGTAGTGGACACATCATATTACTACTTCAAGTTACACTGCAAGGTGAATGAAGCTGAGATTTGGGTTAGTGTTGTGCTGTTTAATGGCTGCTACTAGTTGATTCAGTGACTTACAGGTAATTCCCAATGTGCCCGAAGCTTCTGGTTGTATTCAACAGACTGAATGGATGTTATTGTTTGCTGTTCAATCCTTTCATTATGTTTGTCTTTAAACCTTTTTGTTTTCTTGCAACCAGAATCTGTGGGGTTCTGCCTTCAGATTGTCTGTGGTGTTCTCTAATGATGCCTACTCAGATGTAATGTTTTGAAAATACCATGTTGAATCCAGTTAGGGCTGTCTTACAAACTCAACTTTAGGGACAGAAGTGAGAAAGAATGAATGAATGTCAAGAGAAAATTATTCTAAGTCTGAAAAATAAGGTGGCAGTCTAACCTGTGATGGCTTCCTAAGTATTCAGTTGCAAAATTTGCTTTAAGTATAGAACATTAAAGCAAGTGCTAAAGTGGAGGTATGCTACAACTCAATTAGATTAGAACAGAAGGAGAGAGGAAATGACTAGAGAAATGTCCATTATCTATACTTGGATAGTAACTGGGAGCTATGTAGCTATTACTTCTGCTTAGAGAAAAAGGCAGGAAAAGTATGAAGATCATACTAAATCATTTGCTAAAAGTCCACTCTGGAGCACTTGCATCTTAGGTTCTTGTTCCCAAGTAGCAGAACTCGCTTTCTGTCTTTCTCCAGTGATGTGCCTATCTGAGAAATGGCAATAGAAATTTGGAGTGCTGAAATGTAACCTTGAATACGGGCAGTGAATGGTGTGTCTCAAAACTGTATTATGGGGTGGTCTTTTTACATCTATACAGCGTGAATGTGTCTGACTCTGTGGAATTTATGTATGTATATGCGTAGTTTGGAAGTGAAAATCGTTATCTTGTGAGCTGCTATTCTATATTAAGTGTTTTAAATCATGAGATGGCAAATACTTCAATATAGGTGTACAGTCAGGCAGGTTCCTGCTATTGTAGAGTTCACAATTTTAAACTTAATTTCCGTTCTTTACTGTTTTCCCAGAAATTGAAGTGTCAAGCACGAGGGTCTTCACCAGATATTAGGCAAATTGATCTTGATGTGAATCGAACATACAGAGATCATATCATGTTTCGAGACAGATACGGTGTTAAGTAAGTAAATGAAAAGGTTTTGGTTGTCTTAAAACCGGCTTCTGATCTGCCTCAAGCCTTTTCGACCTGTGCAAGTGTATTGAATGTAAGCTCCGAACTTCCGAAGCAGGGTTGTCTGTGTGCGATGATGTAATTACCGTTACTGCCGCAAACCCAGGTGGTCACTTCCAGCCAACTAGTTTTCCCTCACTATGAGGTGGTCCGTAGCAGTCCAAAGAAAACCGCTTCTAAACTGTTCTCATCTTGTTTCATATTTAATGAAAAGAGTTTCAGATATTGTAAATAAAAAAAGGATGAGCATTCCAAGCTAATAAGTTAACATTTATTATGCAATCATTTTGTTTAACGGTATATTGTCAAAAACAAAATAACTTTTTGCATCTCTAATATTTTTTTTCTTCCCAGAGATGTTAGCCTTCCTTTGGATTTTATCTTCTCCTAGTATCTAATTCAGAACCACTTCAAGCAGTATTTTTTATATAACTATTTAATTATTTACAATGTAGGCCTTAATGCTTTTGGACTTCTTCAAATTTTATTTTTTTTTAACTGTCATTGAATGAGGAATATTAGGCAGCTGTCATCTTTACAAATGCTTAATAGTGAAATAATTGGCGATACAAACGTCAGTATTGTTGCTAGCTTGCAGCATCAGCAGCCTGCTGAGATGAAGAGGGTATTTTTTCCCTTCTGTGACTGTATTACTTCAGGTTTTTAATTTTTTCTTTCCAAGGTAGATTCTATGGTAGTCTCCTGTTTTCAAAAAGCAATGCTCAAATAGCTGTGGATTTTAATATGATAACATACCAATCATTTTCTTATATTCTAGGTGTTTTGTGGGCAGATTCTAACTATGGGGAATTTCTCTGATGGCTGCAAGACAGGATGGAGTACAAAGCAGAACTTCCCAAGCCGAGAGCAATCCTGAGCAGCCACTGTAGTTTAGATATATTTGTGCAGCACTATCTGTACTTGAGGGGATGTGCTTCGCCTCTCGGTAGTCCTGACACAGTGCCATGTAAAAATGACTGCGTTGCTTCTGGGCCTCAATTAGGTTTTACACACACATCTCGGACGTTAGCAGAAGCTCGCTACCTCATCCGTTTGGGGTTAACACAAGCAGAGCCAGCTTCAGTCCCCGTAGCTGTGTTGTAAGCATGCCCTCAGAGTCCACAGGAAAGCCGTTGGCTGCATAAAGCAATTTCACACTTGGAATAGATCTTGGAATTACTGTACATATATTATGCATTTCCAGGGATGCCTCCGTGAAAAATTCAAAAGTCATTTCACGTAGCAGTGAAATACAGTCCCGTGGGTAAATCGATAGCTTGTTTGACTTTTAAGAAGACTGTATGTCTTTGAAGGTTCATTCTTTTACAGGTCTTTAGTGGTATCATCTAGTATAAATAGTCCTAAAATTACCATCATTTTATGTATCTTACTGTGAACGAGATTGAGCTCTTATGTTCAGTTTCATATGGTCAGCTGAAGATAAAGAAGGTTCCTGCGTGCATTTGGGACCTTTTAGTTTGTCCTTGTGAAATAAGACTCCAGCTTAAAATCTAGTACTTTAGGTTACACTTTACATTGGTTACTGAAGAAAGGCTAAGCTGCAGTTCTGCAGGAGGGCAAACAAAAATGCCATAATCTAGATGTTTTAGTAAAATTCTCCAAGTACACATCCTCTTCCCAATAGAAAATACACAGCTGTTTGCTTACGCTTTGTTTTTTTAACCTGCTAATATCTATTTCCATACATTCGATTAGTGACAGGCAGAGGGAATTTCACTGGACAGAAAAAGGACAGTATACAAAACTCAGCAGTTACGTTTTAGCAGTTTTAGTTGTAGATGAAAGCAGGCATTCAGGTTTCCAAATTCTCTCCCCAGCAAATCACAAAAAGTGGGTGTGAGTTTAAAAATGCGTTGTGAGAGCTCTCCACCATTACTGTGATATCCAGATTTGTGAAGAGCAGAGTTTTGTTTTGGTTGGGTTTTGGGGTTTTGTGTGGATTTTTTTGTCTTGCTACCTTCACAAATTAGACAGTTTTTTTTCAGAAAGCAAAGGAACTATACAAAGCTCTTTGTAATTCCGACTCTGAAGTACGTGGAGATCAGTACGCTCTGGAGGACTGAGCACAGGATGCTGAGTCAGAGTTGGTGTTGTTTTTCTTCAGTTTGAGGGTAGCAGTCACTAAAGCAGCCTTTTAATTTGGGTGCTAAGATTATGACACCTTTGTGGCTGCTTTGTGTATTTCAACTCTTCCACATCTCTGTTTGAAATTAGAAACAGCTATTAGTGTTCTGCAAGCACAGAAATCAGGTCTGGAGTGTTTAAAGTTGGCATTCAGAATAAATCAGTGTTTGAAATGTAGCCCATCCTATGTTTCAGTTTACCTGTCTGTAAAAATGATGAGCTGACCCCATTGCCTTCTCAAAGTATTATAGGTATTTTTTGAAATCTTTCAGCTTGTAAAATACGCTAAATGTGTTAAATGTGATGTTGGTTCGAAATCAGAAGCACATACCATCGTAAAGTGTGGTTTATCCTGTTCTTTAACGCTAGACAAATTAAATTGGGGAAACAGGTTTCCAAAACGTAGTTTTCTGCTTTTATGTTTTTCTGTTTTTTACAAAAGACAATATTATAGCATTTTCCTTTTCTACTCTTATTTCTCCAGGCAACAATCTTTATTCCATGTTTTAGCTGCATATTCCATATATAATACGGTAAGTTGTTTGCCTTCATACTTAAATACAGTTTCTCTGAACATGCCGTGAGATGATAACTTGCAATTCCGTTGTCTTTCTCCCTAAAAAAAAGAAAAAACCCAGACATTTCAGAGACCTTTGGAAGTACACAGAAATAAATTATTTGTTTGTTGACATGTTTTGAGCTGAAGTTAAAATGAAAAATGTTGATTATGAGTACCTTGTTGGACAGACTGAACTGTGCATACAGTTCGACTGAAACGAAGTGTTGTGTCTAACAGAAGTGATGAATTTGTGCTGCCCTGGAGTTTTATACTACTGATATTTTCCCCCTATTGTATTTTGCCTCCCGTTCATTTGAGTGATGGGAAGGAAAGCTCACTGCAGAAAGATGCATGTTGAAGTAAACAGGCATATTGCATAACCTGGAGGGTTCTAACAAATGGAAAATGGTCTTAAAGGTTGCGTCTTCTTTACTAAAGCCCTCGGTCTTGGCTGCAGTCCTGGATGAGGATTTGTTAGAGTGAGGCTTAGACTGTACCATAAGGGTTACAAACATAGGTATTTCGTAATGTCTTTTGGCTGCGTGGTAAAAATACGAGAAACAGAAATGCTCTTATATCCACATTAACTGTGGTTTTAGTGCACTATTCCATTTCTTCTGCCCATTTTGACCATTTTTGATAATTTGATAGTAATAAAAAGAAATAATCTTTCATTTTATATCCATCAGCAGCTCCCTAGAATTCAGTGTAAAAGTATGTAAAGTTAAGAAGAAGAAAGTGAAATTAAGCAGTTACTCTAATTAAAGACCACTTTGATTTTTCAAAGTTCTTGGAAATGTAACCTTTCTGTCCTGTTTCAGTTTCTGTCTCCTCACAATTGTTGGCCTGTAAAAGAACTTACCTTGCTGGAATTTGGTTTTTTTTTTCATGTATTATTTTGTCTTCAGCTTTTCTTTGTAAGCAGCCTCAACACACTGAGAAACAAAACTCTGGAAAGACCTTTATATATCTCCTGTAGAACATTGGAGCAGTATTTTCAAATTGCATGAAGAAGTATTGTTTAAGATCAACTGTTAAAGTGTACTGATGGGAATAACACAATGAGGTTTTTATTTTGCACTTACGTTGTTGCATTTTTCCTCTTAATGTATAGTAGTTCTTACACTTTGGTTTTATCTCTGGAGCAAAGTTCTCCTAAGAACCTGTAAGCCTGAAAACACTTAGTCAACAGTTAAGTCATTGTCCTTGCAAATACTTTATCAGTGGGGTTATCTGGGCAGCTAAATGATAGCAACAGTTGGTTCCTGCCATAAAAGTAAAAATTAATAGCAGAGGAAATACTCAACTTCAGTTTTGGAACAATGACACTTTTTTATTCGTGTTTATTACATCTGCTTGCTATGGGCTGCTAAACTTGAGCAGGTTTGTAGTTATAGGTCACTTTTGAAAAGTCCTGTGTTTATCAGATGCTGCCCTGACTGTAAAGCAAAACAAAGCAAGACCCCCTGCCCCTCAAAAAAACAAAGTACAATTCAATGGAAAACACTTCCATTTGGAGAATAAGATGATACGGCTACTTGGAATTATTAGTACTGACAAGGATTTTGTGTATCAGTGGAGGGGTGTAATGAACAATCAAGACTTCCAGTTTACTTTTCAGTGGCAGGGTTGTGCATCATCCCTTCTATCCATCAATATTTTAAATGTTTAAATATTAAGTGTGTTTGGTTGTGTTATAATTGAAGAACTCACACCATCAGGACAGGCATCCTCTTTACTAGCTCAAGGAAAACTAAGAGCCCGTGATTATGAGGCTTTTGTTTTCAGCGTATTAATATTTTCACTGTCTGATTTTCAGGAAGTTGGATACTGTCAGGGAATGAGCCAGATCACAGCTTTACTCCTTATGTACATGAATGAAGAAGATGCCTTCTGGGCCTTGGTGAAACTTCTCTCTGGTCCAAAGCATGCTATGCATGGTATGGAGTTTCATGTCGCTTAGTGTATATTTGGTTTCAACCTGCCCTATTTAAATTGTAAATTAATTGAAAATGGAACTATGCTGTTCTGTCTCTGTAGTCAAAATAAGACATAATGGGAGCTTTATACTGGGGGGCTATTGGATGTTACTGGAGCTCTCACCCATAATGGTAAATAATTGTTTTTGCATGTGATATCTTTCAAATATTTTTTAATGAAAATCGAATGGTTTCCTTTCCTCTTAATCTCTTAGGGAATGTAACCAATTGAAAGCTGCTGTGCAGACATCTATGTAGTAATAAAATACTAGTGGAAGCCTAATATGGAATGTTAAATAATATTGTGGCGGTGCTATCATCTGGCAGGGCAGGAATCTATATTAAAAAAATGGACCTGTGTGTAGGCATTAACTTCAGGTTTCTTGGTTTTATCTCTGCCTCGCAGAGCATTTCCTGCTCTCATGGTCTTGTTACTTTTATGTTATTGGTAGTTCTCTCTTTCCGTGCCAAATTTAGTATGATCTATGCATATTCCATGGGTATTGGTATGGAACAACTCCAGGAATTCCAGCATCTTTTGTGGATATTAGTGATGTGGTGATTGAGAAAAGCTGTAGTTCTTGGAAGTAAATATTATCTAGAACTTGGGCTTTATTAGCAAATTTCCAACAAGCTGTAGCTCCTTTTCCCTGCTTAAGACTTTCTCATACTGTGATATCTTCCTTCCCTGGCTTTTCAGTGTTCCTGGATGTTCTCCACCCCCAAGATGAAGTGCTAGTTGGTTATTTTGCTGTTTATACTTCTGCAAAGCTGTAGCCTTTTAAAAAAAAAAAAAAAGTCTGACGTGAGGATCCCTGTCATAAGAGAAATTTTGATTTCATCAAGAGTCAAAAACTTGCTTGGAGCTTTACACAATGATAACACAGACTGTAAGCATCTCACAAAAATTTTTTTATAGATTTAATAATAATCAAGAGCTATGCAACTACAATGGTGCAAATACAACTGTGTAGAATGTTGAGTTCCTCAGAGGTCATAGAGAATTCTAGGAGTTTTGGGCAGTATGTCTAAATCAACTCATTATATACCAAATCAGTTGATCTGGTTTTGATACGTGGGAGCTTTGCATAGGTGTAGTTGCCTTTTTAAGATGCCATAGACTGTTAAACAGAATTTTGAAACTTTTTCCTGATTTTATGTCTTAGTGTTTGGTCTGTGTCACCTTTTTTTAAAACAGAGAAGTCCTAACCTTGGAGTGTGGAGCTAGTGGAGAACTCTTTAACAGGAAATTGGGCTGATTTTTATAGATGAACAAGAGGGTTCCTCTGGTGACGGACCTACACAGGCAGATGTGTCACTTGAGTATGTATGGGAGTCAGCGCGCTGCCTGCCTCGCTGGCACTGAACGCACCATTCAGACCTCCCTCTCGCCCTCCTTCATTCCTTCCCTTCTCCCTCACACCCCCAGTTACAGGCCATGCAACTGTCAAGTGATTAGAGGGGGAAGGAGAGAGCTTTGAGCAGCCCAAGGCTTGATGAGTTCCTCCACAGGGCTTACAAACCATCGTGCCACAGGATTATACGTACATTGAAGCTGTCTTGGCAACATCTGTTAAGGAAGTTTGCTTTTATAGTTAAGTGGACAAAACCTTAATTATAACTCAAATGTTCCCAATTTATCATTTATTAGATGTTACCAACCTAATCTAAGGTCCTGCTTTCAGCATGTTGGACCAGATAATCTCCAGAAGTCCCTCCAACCTAGATATCCTACGATTCTTTGATTGTATGTTTTAAATGGATTTATGCCGCAGTGCAGCATTACTGTAAATATTGCTGTAGATTCTGGAAGGGAACTTTGAAAGTGACTTAACCAATGTCTTATAACTGTTTGTACTTTTTCTGTGTTCTTTTGTGGGGAAAGTGGTTTCAAGCACTGTTTGCCAACTCTTTTAAAGCTTAAATCATTTCAATTCTACATTGCCAATATTCATGAAGGAAAAGTTTTGTAATTGCAGTTGATGCCACTGACCATCTGACGATTCTGAAATGAGCCTCCATCTACAGAAATAACAGGGGCGGGCTGAGTAATTCAATTAGAATCGTGCTGACAAGAGCACGATGGTTAAAAGTTCCTCCCCCTAGACAAAGTTTTTAATCTGTTTTTTCTTCTACCTGTGATCTGGAAACCTGGAATGCTTTTTTGGGTGCAACCCATGTGTCTCAGATACATAGCCAGACTAATTTCTAGCATAACACCGCTTGAAATCAAGGGATTCATTTGGCCTCTCTGATGTTTCGTGTTGTACGGGTGATGAGAAGTCTCTAAACTATAAAATACAGATGTCTGACCCTGAAAATGATTTAGGTTTTTGAAAGCTCTTTCTGTTGGGGGTTTTATAGTCTTAAAAATTCAAGATAGTGAATTGGTATGTAGAAATTGAAAGAGCAACTTCCCATGAAAAAAGCACCTTTGAATGTTATTAATGATGGCTAATTAGTTTTGATGTAGTCACTCAATGTTTACATTAAGAAAAAAACCCAAACACCTCTCCTGATCAGTAAAATTTCCTAATATGCAACCTGACATGATAGAATGGGCATTTGTGGCTGTGAAATACTAAACCTGTGTGAGGCTGAGAGTAAATCTTGCAGCTTAGTGACCATGCACTGAGTTACATAATTGGTAACTAGAAAGAGTTTTCTTTTTGGTTTCGGGCTGGTTTTAGTGAGGTTTTTCTTGGGGTTTTTTTTGAAGTGATGTGTTCTGTGGGTCCGCACTTGTATTTTCTGTACTGCCTATCATTTAAAAGTAAAAACTGTTGGGTTATTCTGTAGCCTTTTGAAATCCTAAGAATATGGAATTGCTGTACTAGACCTATTAAACCCCATGTCCTGTCTCTGATCGTGACTAGCAACAGATGTTCAGTGGAGACTGAAAATAAGGCAACCAAAGATCAACACCTCCTGGAAAATGTGTTAGAGGCTGAAAGAATTTCTGGAGGAACTTCTTGAAGATTTGTTTTGCCTTTAGTAGTCCGGTAGACTTTTCTTCCTTAAATAATTCATTACATTTGACTATGGATTGTGTTCTTCCATTTTTGTTTTGGCTTTCCCACATGATGATTTCTCAATATTGCCCTCTGGATTTTGCCTCCAAGACACTCCATGTTCATAACCTCTTCACCGCTGGCACTTGGTGGTATTTCCCCTCAGCTGTTTCTTTACTGCAGGCTGATCAGATGTAGGATTTTCGTCTGTTCTTGGCACAGAAGTGGTTCTATACTTTGATAATTTCTGTGACTTCTTGCCTTTTCCAGATTTTTTGCGATACTCTTTCAGGATGGTTAGGACTTGGCTGTTCACAGTGTGGACCCACAGCACGTGTCAAATAGCTTGGGTCTCAGCACAAACTCCTATGCCACTTCATAGGTGAAGCCTTTTTTTGGTCTTTTTTGTTTTACTATCGTTTAACTCAGTGGATTAGCTGCTTTAGGAGATGGACTGAAGAGATGAAGCTGCTTCAGTGATAGGACCTTTGGAAAGTCAAATAGGCAACATCCACTGCTCTCTATGGCTGCATACCCACTGATTTCTTCAAGGAAGCCCAGCCGATTTAAGAGACGTGAGCTGTCTTTGTAAAAACCATGTTGATTCTTCTTTGGTGCGTTGCATCCATCTGGACGTCTGCTTACCCCGACTTTATTATGGTTTCTATTGGTTTTCTCTCAGCATATTGGCCTGAATATTGACCTGAAAACCAGTTTAAGAAAAGCTGACATCATGTCGGCCACTTTCCAGGGTCCTGGTATTTTAAGCAAGAGGTTTCATAGAATCGATATTTCAGCTAGTTGATCTTTGAGTTCTTTTAGAACTGTTTAGGGTTCTGACTTAGGAACCTCGCCAGTGTCTTCCATGCAAAAATTTAACTTGTTATTAGTCTGGATTTCACCTTCTCCAAGCACTTCTAAATATCTTCGCAGACTGTTGAACCTACAAATTCTCTGTCACGCTTTCTGCTTCCAAGGTGTTTGAAAATAAGTCTATTAGTATGTTTTTAATATCTTTTGTAAGTTGTTTTTTTTTTTGGGGAGGCTTGTTTTTCACCATTTTATACTGCTGGTGTTTGATCATTTCTGTTTTTCTGATCTCAACACAGCTTCAGCTTTTTCAAGGATCTTCTTTGAATGGTTTATTTTCCTGCTGTGTAGCTGTACTAGCTTTCCTTTAACTTTTAAAGTTTTTCTGGCTTGTATTATGTGATTGCTCTGAGAGTTTTTTTTTAACTCTGCTGATAACTCAATTGGAAGGGGATCTTAGTGCTTCTTCTTCCAGTGTATGATCACTAAAACTATTCAAGATTTTTAATGTGCCCTGAGTTTCAGTTGTGTGAGCTCAGTGTCTTCACTTTATACTATCTATTCATATTTGTCTTGGTAGAATATCCCTCTTTTCTTTGTTTTTTTATGGTCTTTTCTTCAGTGCAGACAGTTCTAGTAGCTGCCTATGCTGTTTGCTCTTCTATCGTGAACTTGCTGGGCATAATCCCAGTTTGTATCTTTTTGCTTTTAAAAGTTTTAGTCGATGTGAGTTGTGGTGTTTTGTCTTTTAAAGAATAATTATAAATTTGGTTTCCTCATGATCTTAGAGTGGGTAATATAGGACTGCTGGGTCTGCTGTCATGTACCTTTACAGATCTCATAATAGTCACTAAGGGAATGTATTGATGTTCTGCTATAGTCATTTAGGCAGGAGTATGTGCATGTCTGTATGTGGATACTGTAATATTACTATGAATAGCTGTTCGGATCCAGTGGTCTTACAGAAGGATATTGTTCTCGGAGCTCTGAATGCCTTTTTTTGATGTCAATTTTGTAATACATACACCTGTTACATGGTCAACTTCTTTTCTTAGGGTTTTTTATTCCTGGTTTTCCAAAACTGTTGAGGTTTCAAGAACATCATGACAAAATACTGAAAAAATTTTTGTCCAAACTTAAGCAGCATTTGGTGAGTATTTATTATCACAATAGAAGCAATACTAATTTACAGCTTGCTACCTTGTTTCAGTTCAGGTTAACCCACTAGGTTAAGACTACATCAAACCTCAGAAAAAAATGCAAAGCTCTAAGAAGCAGAAGTGCTGTTGTTTTCATCATGGACCAAGTTATGGTGCACCTTGGCAGAGTTATGATAAAATTGGATCCTAAGAGTAGTTAAATTGGGAGTCTGTCTCACCTTTGATCTCTGAGTTAAGAAAATATGTGGTCCTTCTACCTGGCCTTGTGCAAGCTGCTGTATTGCAAACTGATGTTAAAACACTTTATTTGGAGTTTATTGTATGTAGAGCTTTGTGGCTTATCTCTGGACAGAGGTAGCTTTACAACCAACTAGTTTTAATCTCTGTTTAAAAAAGAACCTTTATATGAGGAGTTAATGGTCCTTTTAAAATTTGCACATACTCAGTAGTATTTTCACGAAGCTAAATGTTGAGTGTTATCTCTTCTGATGCTTTTAAATAGGGAATAATGTGCTCTTTAGTTTTTTGCTAATATTGGCTGTATTTATTCTAAAGAGCAAATTGTTTTTCTAATGGGAGAAAAATGCCCTTCCAATAATCATCAAGAATATTTACAATCACATTGGTTCTGCCAGAATCCATCTCCCAGTTTTAAAAGGTGGTGTAAGAGATGCTCAGTTGCAGCAACATCTTCGAAGAGTGATAGCTGCTTACAAACATTACCTTCCCAGGACTATTATTTTCTGTTTAGTATGTTTATCTCCTTAGAAAAAGAAAAAAAGACGGCTGGGGAGCAGACTAGCACCTTGGCAATGATGAATTGCATCTAATGTGTGCCTGTTGTATTATAAAATAGAATTTAATGTCTTTTTTTAACAACATGCTGTAAGACCTGCTCATAACAAGGAATTAGGCAGATCTGGTTAGGAAAAAAACCCCGCTCTTCTGTTAAAAGTTCAAGTCAAAATTAGTCATGAAAGATGATCTTGGCATTTAAAAAAAAAAATTTTTAAAAAATCAAGACAGTTCTGTAACGAACTTGAATCTAAAATGAAACTGATGGGTTTAGTTTTTATAGTACCTGCAAGATGATGATTGTTTAGAAATATTGTCTTATTCTCATTTTTGAGGTTATCATGTTTCAGGAATAAAATATAGACTAATCCTAAGAAGATTGGGTGGTTTTAACAGTAAATGGTAAAATGCTTTCTAAAAATCCAAGAATAATTATACATGATTGAGGTGATACATGTTATTAAATTTTGTATATTGCTTGTGTTCCTCTTATTGCTGCACTTAATAATCAAGAACTATTTTCTTCTGTCATTTGTCCCCATCCCCCGTCTCTCCCCCTGCCTTGGGTCACTTGAAAAAGAAAGTTTCAGAAAAGTGCAGAAAGTTGCTCTAGTAACTGAAAAAGCTGGTTTGAATAAAATGGTTTGATAGCTCCCTTTTGAGGGAGTTCTTGGCCACTTGTTTAGAGGGATCCAGAAAACTTTCACACTCTCTATTATATATTTTTCTTTTCAGTTTTAAATCACGGCAGAGTTCTATCTTTGTGTGAATTAGTTTTGTGGCATTAAATTTAATAGCAATCAGATTTTTTTATGAGGGAATGCATGGTCGGTTATATCTCTAGTTCAAAACAGCAGGCTGATGGCCATTCTTACAGGTTAGAAAAATCTCAAAATAAAGTGTGTTTTGTTCTGTCTGCTTTTTTTATAAAGACTTCCAAAATTAAAATCTGATAAAGATTATTTCAATTATATTAAGAATTATTTTTCCTCATTTCTTACTGTGAATGTATCACTAAGACAAGCCCATTTTACCTTGCTGAAAGATGAAGGTAAAGCCTGCAGATAAACCGGAGGGATTTGGCCCATTGCTTATTCAGTATTTGTGTACTCAAAATTTTTGGAAAAGCTGAATGTGGAAAGGATAGAATATGATGTTAACCCAAAGCTAAAATTCAGAATTTCTTAAATTTTCAGCTTTTACTTTGGCTTTTCCTCTAAGTGTGCAAAGAACTTGGAAGAGCTCCATGAAACTGCAAAGAAGCTTTAGCCATCTTTGAATGGGGTCCATACCAGGTGGACCATCTGTGCTCTAGGGGAAATTAGGCCCTTAAGTAAGGAATTAAATGCTTTATCAGTCTAAATGCTGGTTTGAGGTCCTGTATTTGAAGAATTTGATTGTTTTAGGCTGGTTTCTGGTAGGTAGGTATTCTTGTCAAGATCTTTTCAACCTTTGGCATGAATTGGCAGCCTTGCTATAGAGAAATGAAAGATTAAATGGACCCAGTGCTTGAACTTTGGTTACTCCAGAATATTGGTTTATTTTCTTGAGAGAGGATTTAATCCTTTGAAACCTCTATCCCAAAAATAAGATGAGGTCTAAGATGTGTTAATACCATCTACATCTCTGAATACATGTTTCTTCAGTTGGTGACATTGATGAAGAAAAACTATAAAAGACAGAAATTGTACTTGTTGGATTGAAGTAACAGTGTTTCATGTAGTTACATTAATTCTTTATGACGAATATTTGATACATTGACCTCAAAGTGAAAATGTGTTTTCATGGACAGTGCAAAGCATGACTTGATTTTTGTGAATGTTTTTAAAGTTCTGCATTTTTTACAGGACTCCCAGGATATGTCCACTAGCTTTTACACAACCAAGTGGTTTTTCCAGTGTTTCCTTGATCGTGTGAGTATGTTTTTCATTTTCTATTTCTGTTTTTGATTGTGACTTAGAACAGACTGTTTTCACAGCGTTGCCTGATTCTGTCATTGCAGACTCCCTTTACATTAAGCCTCAGGATATGGGATATCTACATACTTGAAGGAGAGCGGATTCTCACTGCGATGTCTTACACAATTCTGAAACTACACAGAAGTAAGAAATTTCTCAAACATTTGAATGCTAAACAGAGGTTCAGCTGGTTTTGTTCTTTTGTAGCTTGACCTTGTGTGAAAATCTTAGTTTCCCATTTGCCTTATGCTACTTTTGACAGGTGTTTTTCTTTCCTTATGCACAAAAAGATCAAAATCTTTGCTTTATTAATGTGTGTATGTGGGTGAGTTGACCTTGGATGGACACTAAGCGCCCACCAAGCTGCTCTATCACTCCCCTCCTCGGCAGGGCAGGGAATAAGATGGAAAAAAACTTGTGGGTCAAGATAGAGGTGGTTTAATAAAGCAAAAGCTGCACGTGGAAGCAATGGAAAACAAAAGATTTATTCTCTACTTCCCGCCAGCTGGCTATGTCCAGCTACTTCCCGGGAAGCAGGGCTTCAGTACACACAGCAGTTGCTCCAGAAGACAAACGCCATAATAACAAATGTCGTCGTCTTCCTCCTTTCTCTTAGCTTTTATTGCTGAGCAGACATCATGTAGTATGGAATATCCCTTTGGTCATTTTGGGTCACTGTCCTGGCTATGTCCTCTCTCAACTTCTTGCTCACCCTCAGCCTCCTGGTGAGGGGGAATGTTGCAGAGACAGCTTTGATGCTGTGGGGCACTGCTCAGCAGTAGCTGAAACACCGGTGTGTTACCACCGGCACCTTTCTGGCTGGCAGTACGAAGCACAGCACTATGAGGGCTGCTGTGGGGAAAATTAACTCCATCTCAGCCAGACCCAATACAGTGTGATTGCCAAAGAAAAATGTTTATTGCAGTAAGAAAGTTATTTGAACATCGACATGAGGTGAGCTGTATCGCTGATTAACAACGGGGAAAAATGTGGTAGTTCCACAGTTTGGAAATGGCTTGTAAGCCCCTACAGGATTTAAATGAATCAAAAAAGCGCACAAAAAATCCAGAGTGTGCCACTAAATACCTGAAACTCTGTCAGCAGACGACTCAGCAATGATGAATCACCAGCGTATGTCTCTTTCTATACCGTTGTTTGTCCAAGAATCTAATTAAAATTCAGAATTTCTGGTGTCTGCCTAGGTGGCCATCTCTTCCATCTCTCGTGTTTTGGGTAAAGTCAAATTTGAGATTATGAACAGAAGAATTGTCCAAAGCATGTATGCCTGGTTCCCCAAAGTGATTTAGCACCTTAAGTTCCAAAAGATCTACAAAGCTTTTGTGGATGGATGTTGGCTTCTAAATATACTTGAGCATTTCTCAGGGTTATACCTTGCAGCTTGAGTCAGCCTTACTCTGGGACTTTGGCTTCCTTAGTGAAGTCATTTAACTCCGTGTATCAGGTCTGCATGGAGCCTGCAGAATTGATAACTTAATTTGCTTGCTACTTTACCCTCCCTGAACTGTGGTGATATTACCTCACTGTCTCACGGGGGGGTGCATTCGTTACTTTGTTCATAAACTGCTTTGAAAAATGTTACTTTTTAAATTATTATACTTAAAGCTGAACGCCTAGAGGGAAATTGTTAGACTTAGCATTTTAGTTTCTGTTCTTTATTGCTAATAGACATCTGCTTGAAACTTCTTTTTTTATTCACCACTCTCTTTATGGGAAGACCTGAGGAAAAAGTCTGAGTGCAGGTTTGCTCGCTTAGCAAGTACATAGCAACTTGCTCCATGATCAAAACACCGAGAGTACCTTACGGCAGCGGAGAAGAGATGAGAGGACTGGCAGAGGCGTTGGCTGAAGACAGATCCTGATTTGTTTTCCGGTCTCTTGTCTGCCTTTAAAAACACTGGTGGTATAGCTCTCCAGTCAAAGCGCCACTGAGCGCCAAGATAAATGCCAGGAGCATTTTTATTACAGTGCAAAAACATTTTTTGTGGTTTCTGTACAGAAATTGTACATTCTGGTACTTTTGGTGGCGTACATATGCTTAAAGAAGCTGCATAGGTGTGCAGTGACAGCCTTGCAAGCCAGATAGGTTTGTGTGGAAGGCGTGGCCTTACTGCTGTGTGAAAAGGGAACGAAAAATAATCTGGTAACTGTAAAATGACTTTCAAAATATGACTTGAATTTGATTAAATGCCAAAAAGTACCTGAATTTTCAGAGAGCCTGAAGCAATAGTTCTGAAGTGTGAACTGCCATCATCATTTCATTGGAAGTTACTTCAGTTGTGAATAAAGATACCGTAAATATCAATTTTTAAAATGTTTTACTGCTTTTCAAAGCTCTTAGTAAGAGAGATGGTATATGTTGCACAGACCTACAGTGGTGTTTTGTAAATTGAGGATGCAGGCTGAAAGGACCTGAAGCTGTTGGACTCAAGAAGGCTGAAGGAGGGTGACTTGTAGTTAGTTTTCTGAAGATGCCCCTTCTTGGAAAACGTTGTGATAAGTAGAGAATAATAAGCAGAAAGCATTTCCATGCTGATTTGCAAGTGGCTTTTTTAATGCATTTTATAGATTTCTGGTGTAGAATTCTGTTATCTGCTTAATTAATAAGTGCTTTTCATTCTTCCTTGAAAACAAAAGCATCTAATGTGTTAAGTACATTTTACGATGGTCATAGTTAAGGCATTTTAATGTATAATGTTTTCTTCTTATATAGAGCATCTGATGAAATTACAAATGGAAGAGCTTGTAGAATTTCTGCAGGAGTCTTTAGCCAAGGATTTCTTCTATGAAGATGACTTTGTAATAGACCAGCTCCAAAATTCTATATCAGAATTGAAACGAGCAAAGCTGGATTTACCAGTAGCTGGTAAGAACCTTGTACATATGCAGATTTAGATATTTGGAGCTATTCACACATTGTCCATTTTTGAAGTGTTAATTCATGCAGTTAAAAATTGTGCAGTATTTATCTCTTCATCCCTGCATAGGTTTTGGTTTTTTGGTTTTTTTTGTTTTTTTTTCCTAAAAACTATTTTACAATTAAAAATCAGCACCCTTTATTTTGTGAGTTTGCTCTTTTTTGTTGTTTTTTTTTTTTTTACTGGTTGTAGGCTAATGGCAAAGACTTTAAAACATCACACGTTCTAATAATTTTATTAATTTGGATTTATAAAAGCTTTGAGATAAAAGATTAATTATCAAGGCTTCAGATTATTTGAAGCAGTGGCATTGTCTGAGAATCCAGACTGTTTTGTAGCTTGATTAGCTATGGAACAAACTTTAGGTCAAATAGTTTCTTCTGGTAGTCAAATCCAGATTTTTAATTGTTTGCAGGTGACAGACCTTCTGGGTGTTTAACTGCATTATTTCCTTTGTTTCTTCTCAGCCTTTGTGTTTGTGCTTTTTGGTTGCAGAGTGGAGGTCGTTATTTTGTGGGGCCCAAATTATGAAATGTGTATGGGATCTCTTCCTGTATTAAGATTCTATTATTTTTCTATCCCTACCTGCACAATCTTTAATTATTACTTTTCTTGTGATTATTCAGAGACATTTTTCTTTAGCCTTGCTCATTGTAAAATAGTATGTGAGAAAGAATATATGTTTTCAAAAAGATTAAAATTATGGCAGAAACCGCCTTCAAATAACTTCATTAAGTTGCTCTGGTTAGCTTTCAGAAGTTAAGAAGTGTCAGAATAAAGGTTGCCTATGTAGCATTGTGGTGATAATTTGTT